AATCACTCTCATCAATCAAAATGTGACGCTGGATCATCTGCACGTTGGTCTGAGGCAGCTACGGATGAAAATGACTGGGACCATTATGATGTACCCACTTACACCCCCCAAGTCGCCACAAACTTTCAGAAACCTCCACCGTTTCTTTCCAGAAATGAAAGGAAGCAGTGGCGATTGAATCAAAGAATTAATAAATAAATTTTTTGTGTATCTGTATGTACTATTTTTAAAAAAATAAATAAATGAAGTAGATGTACCAAGTCAGTATTTTTATTTTCTATAACCGCTTAAGTAATAAAACATATTTTTGCTATATCCTTTATAAGAAAAAGTTAAGATATTAACAAAATATTAACAAATGGAATGTATTATAATAGAGACTAGTTAGTGTCTAAACAGCCTCACATTTGTGATGTCAGCTAAATGTTTTTTATTAAATAAATTATATGTATATACGATACATTATGGTTTCTTTCAATATATTAAAAAAAAGTGTGGTCTCTCAACATTTTACTATTTTTAAAAATACATAAGTGTTAGAGCAATCTGAAAATATCAAGTGACAATAACCTCCAAATAACCTTAGTCTTACATATATATAAAGGATTTCAAATTTAAGAAATCAGTATCTTTGATACAACTGAAGGGGCAACATGGAAAATGGAGAAGTTCCAGTAGTAGAGGTTGCTAAGGCAGACTCTACGACTTATCCATACCACTCGCCAGATAGAAGTTGGTCCTCTTCCTGGAGTGATACCACTGACGATATGGAATATGACGATGACAACGAGATCGATGAAGATGTCAATATAGAGCCAGACTCTTCTACATCTCTAGGCAGGTTGTCAGGTTCAACGACACCAGACAACCTCAGCATCGATTTCGGTAAGCAAATAACGCGATAATAAGTTTAAAAATAACTTTTTCTGTACAATTACAGGCAATTTAGAAGCGATGATGGTTAGAGGGCCAGGATATGTGGAATTTGAGGAACAGACAGATGATGAGATGGATTGAGTACTACTCACTCAATTTGTTGTTCAAGTTTTAATTTTAGTCACTTAATTTGTTAACTTTTTGTATACAGGGTGATTCGGTCATAATGTCATCAATTTTAAGAGCAGATAGAGAAAAATGAGTATAATACGATGGCGTGATTAAAAAAAAATTTAAATGCATATTTAAGCTGAAAAAAAATATTTTCAAATCATTATTTAACCCCCTTTTCAGGCTGTTACTGACCGGCTGACGTCACAATATTATGCACGGCTACGATATGAACCTATGAACAACGCGCCCTAGATGCAACGTTGCCATATTTATATATTTTCGCTCATATAAAGACAATAAATAAACGGTTTTGCTCACGTCAGCCAATAATAATTTAAAATGCTATAAATTATTTTTTATTTATGCAATCAACATATTAAATTGTTATTGTTGCCCAGCAAGAACCTCGAGGTCTGAGCATGCCTTGCCAAAAATCAGTTTTTATTAGCATCATAATTTTAATATTTTAACAACATTTGCTGTAAGCCCGAAGGGGAAGGTTTTCAAACAATTCTACTAAAAATTAGTAACGCGGCCCATTCAGATGTTCAGGTAGAAAATGCGGCCCAATTAAACGATCGCCATTGACATTGACACCGAATCTCCTCTGAAAGCTATACCACCGACGAGTAGTGTGCGGGTAGTAGTGTGTTTCATCTGACCAAATGTGACTATTATGGCTGCAAAGAAATTAGCTGTTTCACTTTAAATAAGATTTAATATTGAAGTTACAAAACCCCAAAAGTTCAAATAATTTAAATTTCATTTCATAACCATTTCAATTTCGTTACAGAAATAATGTCATAAAAAACCAACACTCACTAGATAAATTATAAAGAGAGGATAAATTGTATGCAGTATTTAAATATTGACTGCAATTAGAAGAGAGACTTGTATATTCCATAAAAAAACAATGGGACGGAGACAAATAAACAACTCGGTACGTCGTGTTTCCGACCTAGGGTAACCTGTGGTTCAGTAACCTTTTAACCCAGTTTTAATTTGCACACGTGCACCATATAGTCCAGGAGCCCGATGTGCAAACAACTTATTCTTAAATATTTGACCTCTTGAATCCAAAGAAACTTGGTCGCAAAGCCTGAAAGTGGTCAGTTTAATTGTTATCAACAAATTAAATGTTTAAATGGCTGTAAAAAGTTTATTTTTATAGCTAGTACAATTTATTCGCTAATAGTTACGTTTTCTCATAACAAATATGTATTTTTTTGAAAATTAAAAAAAATTAACTTTAACCAAAGTTATTGCAAATTTAGTGCAAATTTCTTACATTTTCCGTCTCCGTGCGCACTAATTTTACCATATCTGGTTCTAAGTTCCATTTATTTATTAATTTATTTAATAATTAATGGCATCTTAGAAAGTTGTGAAATTTCAACGAAAATGCCGGTTTTAATTGTTTATAAGGTTTTTTTTATTATTCAACTTCGACGAAAAGCCAAAAAAGTTACCGGATATTGTTCTTTGCATTCTAACAATCAAGCAAGGCATGAAATCATTGTTAGGATGCGAGGAACAATAACCGGTAACTTTTTTGGCTTTTCATAAAAATTGAATAACAAAAAAAGTTTTATAAACCAATAAAGCCAACATTTTCGTTGAAATTCCACAACTTTCTAAGCTGCCATTAATTTTTAAATAAATTAATTAATCAATGGAACTTACCTATCTTGTAAAATAAAGTTTAAGTTTTAAAATGAGATGTGCGTCTCAATCCGTCCAATTGAACCAGAGATATGGTAAAATTGGTGCGCGCAGAGACGGAAAATGTAATATATTTGCACTAAATTTGCAATAACTTTGGTTAAAGTTAATCTTTTTTTAATTTTCAAAAAAATATATGTTTGTTGTGAGAAAACGTAATAATTAACAGATAAAAAATTGTACTAGCTATAAAAATAAACTTTTTACAGCCATTTAAACATTCAATTTGTTAACAACAATTAAACTGACCACTTTCAGGCTTTGCCACCAAGTTTTTTGGTTTCGAGAAGTCAAAATACTTAAAAATAAGTTATTTGCAGCCGTGGAATTCTGTTTGGCTACGGAAACCTATCTGGCCCCTAGCCCCTAGACTAATACGAGTGTAGTAGCAAAAAGTTGTCGGTCTTTTATCAAAGGAAAATCGTATCAACAAATTTAATTTAAAATCTAAAATACCGGCTGTTTTCGTAGTAGCTGTAGTCGCCCAGGTGCATCGAGTGTACGAAGTGGTCGGTTATATGTCAAATACTAACCTGGCGAGCTTGAACCTGAACTTGGCAACGCTGTTCCTTTAGCCGACAACTGTTCGTGACATTACGTTACAAAATTTTCCGAGCATCCGGGCATCGGCAGGGCAGCCCTCGTAGCGGGAGTTATGGGTTGATTTCCTTCATTTTTAAAAGTCGAGTAAAAATTTTTTTTTTCCGATTTTCTGTCTTTATTAAGCCTTCCGAATACGTGGTTAAAATTAATGACATTATGACTGAATCACCCTGTATAATAGATAGATGCTAATTAATGGTATAACAAATAAATGGTTTTTAATATACAGGGTATTAATGATAAGTTTTGCCAAACTTTAATGGCGTATTCTACCGATGAAAATAATCAAGTTTTATTAAATTATAAAAATTTTTTGATAGAACGCTTCCCTCCGGAGATACAGGATGTTAAAGTATTCGTAAAATTCACTGGTTTTTAGACAATTGGGAAATCAAATAATACTTAATACGTTGTTTTTACCATTTCATATAAATTGCTTAAATAGAAATATGTAACAATAAATTCAATACCTACGCTACTGTGTTGTTTTCTTATCTAATTAATCCGAAATAAAACAACTCTAAACCCCTAGCGCCATCTGGCATAGCATCATGAACTTAGGTTTTTCTCCGCTGAATTGCCCTTCTGAGAAATGTAGGTACCTGCATCCCAAATGAAGCACAATAGAATAACTTAGGATGGGCACTACTAGGTGCCGCTACATGTAGCTTTAGCCGCTTATCATATAAATGCACTATTTTGACAATTTAACCAAGGATAAATATATTACGACTGTAATTTTTATAATAAATAATAAATCCAAAACAAACATTATTTATTATTTGAAATATTTTATGAATAGTTATTTTTAAGGTTTGTAAAGTTATATCTCACCGACATTCTGTCGCATAAGTACTAATACGAGATCCTTAGAGCCCTTAGTGTGTAGTTGGTTAACTGTAACTTATGGCCGGGGCTGTGAATGCCAGTCCCCAGCCCCGGGGGCAGGCCCTCCCTCCCCCCGAAAAAAGGGGGAAAACCCCCAAATACCCCCAAAAACTCGGGGGTGGGTGGGTGGCCCAGGGGGCTTCGCCCCCCTAGACCCTCCACCTGGGGGCTTCGCCCCACTGGACCCCCCACCAGGGGGGCTACGCTCCCCCCGGACCCCCCACCAGGAAGCTTTGCGAGGACTTATAAAAATTTTTTTATAAGTTCTTATCCTACGCCTAACCTGCGCCTAACCTAACCTAAACCCCCCAAACAACTTTAATTACAACTATGTTTATGTTTTATTAAACTATTTATTTTTCAATATTTACATATCGTTAAATTTATTTAAACACTATTTATTACATATAAAAATGAATTTTTATTTTTATTAAAATATATTTTATTTTAAATATGTCATTTTATTATATTCGAAAACTTAAACTAAAACATTTATTTTACTTATAATTATATATTTACAGATATTAAAGTGTATACTAAACATAACTTATCCATCTACTTACATTAAAACTACGTATATACATCTACTAATTACATATTACTCATTCGCTCGTCTCACTTTCATCCGCTCAGTCAACCTTTTTAACACATTTCCACTTGCATTCTTCTGTCGCACTTTATTGTCTCTTTTCACTTCCCATTGTCCTTTTTGTCGAACGTCACCCGCACTTTGTCTTTCAACACCCGCACTTTTGTCTCTTGCCGGCGATGCGATCGTCGAGGTCCTTTATTTCACGATCGGTTGCATCCTCCCTCCGATTGTGTTTGTCCCAGTATCGGAGGAAGGATCTTACCATGTCGGACTCACCGGGTTGGGAACACTGAAACCAATCGTCTTCATCCTCTGTGTGGGCTGCTGCGGCGAGGGCCGGTGCTGCAACGGGTGCCTGTGCTTCCACGGGGGCCGATGCTTCCACGGGGGCCCGTGCTTCCACGAGGGCCGATGCTTCCACGAGGGCCGATGCTTCCACGGGGGCTGATGCTTCCACGGGGGCCGGTGCTTCCACGAGGGCCGGTGCTTTCACGGGGACCGGAGCTTCGACGGGGGCCGGTGCTGCAATGGGAACCGCTGACTGGGGGACCGCTTGGGGTGTCGCTGTGGATGTCGTCTGATCCGCAAATGGTTGCTGCAGCAACTGATATAGCTCGGACGCCTTCCCTTTGTCCGCTCTTTTCTTACCCGTCCGACTCGAAGGGCGACTAACTTTCTTCCTCGCCATCTTGACGGAGGCTGGTGGCGGCTTGGATTGGAAGACGTCTTCCTCGTCGTCGTCGCTGATGGGCGACAGAACCATTGAGGGAAGGTCTCTCAGGTCGGCTAATGCCCTTGCGAGGAGGTCATCCTCGGAAAAGTCCATTTGGACACCACCCCGGTTGCTTGTTGACAACACCGTCGTGGTGAAGTAGCCTGGGTTCACTGGAGTACACTGCTTCGGCTGTTGGTATGTAAAATATTCTTGAATATGACGCCGCTCGTCCGGCGTCATCGTCGGCATCGGCTTTCCCACACTAGCCGACTTCTTTTTGGTTGATCCACTAGCGACAACCTTTCGCGGCGCAGTACTTGTACGACCCATCGTTAACAATCACAGCACAATGACAAAACCAAAAATAGGATGTACGGCACGGCACGTCTTCACTCTACTCAAGTACGAAGCGAAAGAGGACGCTCCCAATGATACAGTCCTTTTTGTTTCCGAGACTCCCACCTCCACATTCCATCACACTGCGCATGCATTAAAATAAGTGAGGTAATGTTAGTATCTTGAAATTTTGAGTTTGTCCTTTTTTAAATTAAGCCACAAAAAACTGAGAAATTCTGTGTAAAATAAAGTGTACACTGTACATAAAATATATTTTTGTAATGAGCAGATAGAAATACGTTGATAAATTGTAAAATACTCTTTTTAAAATAACATGTGAATTGGTTTTCTATAAGCATAACCCTTTAGATCAGGGATTCCCAAAGTGGTCGATATCGACCCCTTGGGGTCGATATCGGTTTCCTAAGGGTCGACATAAACGAAAACTGATTTTGGGGGGTCGACGAGGTCTAAAAATCGACTCCTATTAAATTAACACAAGTTCTTATTTAAAACTTTCAAGATAGGTAGGTACTGTATTGTTTATGTTGTGTTACGTGTACTAAGAATAATTAATATTTTTGTAGGAAATAGCATTGTTGTAGTAATGTAAAGTCTCAAGTTCGTACAAGATGAAAAACTCGGCAAGTCTGTGTGGACAAGTTTGTGCAAGATAATGAGTTCGAGCGTACGTCTTTCAGGTTTTGACTTGCTCTCTATTTGACGCTTACGCGATTTAACACGAACGAATTCATGATCAAGTCCAAACATGTTCCTGATATTTTACTATTTAACGAGCTTGCACTTAGGTTGAAAGTTCATTTGCGTTTTGAAATTGGTTGGAGCTTGAACGATAATAACTCATATAAGTACTCATTTATTTCAAGAGATTACAAAGTTATTACATAGCTAAATTAAGTGAAGTAAAGTGACTGAAAAAGTGGTAAACACAACATACAACATATTTTAAATAAGTAGGTATAAAAGTATTTGTAAAAATTACTTACACTTAAGTTGTTAAGTAGGTAGGTACCTAAACTTTGAAGTCTTCAGTTTGCTTTGGTTTTCGTTCTTATGCTGATAGGTACCTACTTACCTAATACGAATTTTCTATACCTAATTACCTACTATAGTTACTTACCTAATATGGTATCCAAGTTTATCAATGAGTAAGTCAGTAATACCTAACAAGAATCCATTACCTGGGTGTGATAAAAATAAGATAGTGTGCAAATTTAACAGTTTATTATTGTTTTTTATTTAGGTAGTTTTTTATTTGCAGGATTACTGAGAGTTTTATGATGGCGGACACAAAAAAAAATGCAGACAATACAGTTTGGACTACTTGAAGTTCGGATTTATTGCATCTCCATCAAATCAACACTTGCCGATGTGTCTCATATGTGAAAAAGTATTCAGTAACGATGCCATGAAGCCTTCAAAAATGGATGACCACTTATCAAGAGTACATGCTGACAAAAAAAGTAAGTCCTTGTCATTTTTTCAAGCACTTAAAGAAAAACTAGACAAAAGGCCATCCATAAGATCGATGTTTGCGTCATCATCTATTAAAGACGATGATGGTTTACGAGCGTCCTATAATATAACTTTACTAATAGCGAAGTCGGGGAAACCCCACACAATTGGAGAGCAGCTTATCTTACCAGCCATTTCGGAGGTCCTTAACAATATATTGCACAAACCCGCACATGATATTTTAAAGAGAATACCTTTGAGCAAAAACACCGTTCAGAGACGCATAGACGAGATGGGACGCGATGTGGAAAACATTTTATGCAAGTTCTTACAGACCAACAGATTCTCTCTCCAGTTGGACGAGTCTACATTACCCGGCAATGAAGCTCTGTTGTTAGGATATGTTCGATTTATCAAAGATGAAAATATGTGCCAAGAACTGCTTTTTGCTACATATTTAGAGACTGATACCAGAGGAGAATCGATTTTTCAGGCTATGGAACATTTTTTTACTGACAAAGCTATTCCATGGAAGAACATTGTTTCTGTTGCGACTGATGGTGCACCGTCTATGGTTGGTCGTCATCGTGGTTTTATAGCTCACTTAAAGCGACAACTGCCTGAAGTACTGGTCATTCGCTGCGTGATTCACAGGCAGCATTTAGTAGCAAAAAGCTGAGTCCTAGATTGCATAAATCTTTACAATATGTAATAAATGCTATCAACAAGATTCGAAGCAATTCTTTGAACTCTCGGTTATTTGCTCAGCTATGTGAAGAAAACGACGACGTCTTTACTTGATTACTTCTGCACACTGAAGTTCGCTGGCTATCAAGAGGCTCTTGCTTAGAAAAATTTTCAGCCATTTTTGAGTCTGTGTTAGAGTTTTTACAAGAAAAAGATCCGAATTTGAAAGAAAATCTGAACAAGTGTAAAACAATTATTTATTACTTGACTGATATCTTTGGAATGTTCAACAAAGTTAATTTGCAACTGCAGGGTGACGATCTTAACTAGATTAAAACAAAATCAATAATATCGGCCTTCGTGGGTAAACTAATCCTTTATAAACAAAATTTAGGCAGAAAAGAATATTAGCAGTTTCCGCATTTGTCAAAATTACCAGAAATGCTTCAAGATGATGACATTTTATTATATGTCACCCACTTGGACGCATTACACAAGGATTTTACGGAGAGGTTTGAGGATCTTTTAAATTTACAAATTCCTTAATGGATAATAAATCCGTACAATACCACAGCCATAGAAGAAGCCAATGTGATAATGCAAGAAGAGTTGATTACCATCAGCACAGACGAAGAGCTTAAGCAGAAGTTCAACCAAGGCTATCAGAAGTTCTGGTTGCAACGCAACATTGAAACACAGTATCCTACATTGTGGAACATTGCTGAAAAATACCTTATCGCTTTTCCATCATCATACCTAGTTGAAAAAAGCTTCAGTGTGGTAACAAACATTTTGACGAAATAAAGAAACCGTTTGAAAATCAACGAACGTGGAGATTTAAGGCTGCAACTCACCAATATTGAACCGGATGTAGCTAGATTGGTAGATAGTCACCAGGTTCATCCATCACACTGAATGTTTTATTTTCTCTTTGCGAATTAATACTTTTTTAAATATAATTTCCTACCTACTTAAGATTCTTTAAGTACTTAATTTGTAATAATCATTATAAATTAAACTTGATATTTACTGAATTGTATGTCTTTTTATTTTGTTAAATTTTGATGAGAAAATGAAGTCAACTTTACTCACTTAACCAAGTGCAAAGTTTTCCAATTGGTACCTTAGTACCTAGGTATTTTGTATCAATAGGAAAAAACTAAATCATAATAGTCTGCTAATTTAAAGCATTGCTAATTCTCACTCTGTCTTCTTCTATTGACCTAAGTCAGAATGAAAAATAACACTCTGTAGCAGCTGTTTTAAGTTAGCGGACCATTATGAATAAGGGGGTTGATCTTAAAAGTAGGTAATTTGGCCATGGAGGTCTGAGGTAACAGTTCATTTTGGAAAAGGGGTCACTTGTCCAAAATAGTTTGGGGATCTCTGCTTTAGATAAACAAGAGCATAACCTGTACTAATTATATTTTTGGGTTTTAAGGATATGTAGGTAAATAAAGCAAAGAACGACCTTCATATAAAGTACCTTTATTTTATAATACAACTTATTTACATTATATATGTAGATATTGCCATGGGACTTCACCATTTTGGTGTCATGGAGTACTCTTTCAACTCATCCCTTACTTCTTTTTGTGAAACTTTATAATTATTTCGATTTCCTCTATTTAGTGAAAAAAAATATTATTAGAAATGCGTTCTTCCCGTCAACTACCTGGTACTATTTGATGAGTTTCTCTATCTTCAGTATCAACCAGTCTGATAATAAGTAGTTTGGACACGTTGCTCTTGTCCCTAATAAAATATTTTGCAGAGTACATATTGCCAGAACAATATCTGTCGCTGTTTCAGGGTTTAGATTCCCAGGTTTTCAAAGAACTCGAAACTTGTTTGCTATCATACCAAAAGAATTTTCCACGATGCGGCGAGCTCTGGAGAGTCTATAATTAAAAATTTGGTGCAGGTTGGTCACGAAATGGATAAGGTTTCATGGCAAACACATCACCGGCAACAAAATAGTACGGCACAGGCATTTCTCCACCAGATAAAGGTTCAGCATTAGGCACATGTGAAATGCCTCGCCTCTTATTTTTATTTGCATAAACTTCTCCCTCAAACATTCATAAATGGCACGTGTTACTTCCTTAACAATCCTTCCAAATGTGCATTTAGGAATACGAAATAGATACTGAAGACTGGAGTACGAATCACCCGCAAATTTGTGTAATTCTATTTTCACATTCAGTTAATAATTCAATACAAATCTGAGTCCAGAAAACGCAATGTAACCATAACGCGTTCATAAACAGAAATAGCTCTTCTTAATTTTGTATCCATTTTGACAATTACTGGTCTATTATAAATTGCACTTGTACTGCACTCATACGTACAAAGTTCCGAAATTGTTGGGCATCTTCAATTTTAAGTTCTCTTATTAGTGTAGAACATGCTCCTAATTCACACCTTCTCTGGATCCATGGTTTGATCCAACATATTCTCTTTATTGTTCTTTGTTGCATTCTATTTAACAGTGTATACGCAACAATAATAGCTAGAGTTTTTTTACATTCATGATTGATTACTCACTAATTTTTCCTTTCCACTACACAAAAAGCCTTAATACACAAAGAAAGTTGATGAAACAGAAGTCTCAAATGGATATCCTCCTGACAGATATGTCTGAGAGTAAGCACTCGGAGAATGTTTAGTTATCTAACTGATTCCTCAAATTGCTCTCAAATGGATACCCTCTTAACAGTAACTATCGAGAGTCACTCGCGCTAGTTACTCTCAAATGGACACGTACCTTTACGGTGGTGTTATGATTAAAAGCTTTTTTAAAAGACGTGCATATTATATTTCTCATTATT